CAAGATAGCAGGAAGTCTACATCAGGCTACATTTATATGTTAGCAGGAGGAGCTATATCATGGAAAAGTGTCAAACAAACACTAGTAGCTTCCTCCACTATGGCAGCAGAATTTGTAGCTTGCTATGAGGCATCCAATCAGGGAATATGGCTGCGAAATTTTGTCACGGGACTGCGCATTTTGGAAAATGTTGAAAGACCACTAAGGTTATATTGTGACAATAAATCTGCAGTAATGTATTCCAATAACAACAGGAGCTCAACTAAGTCAAAACATATTGACATTAAGTTCCTGGTTGTGAAAGAAAGGGTACAGAGTGGACAGATATCCATAGAGCACATTGGGACAAACTCCATGATAGCTGATCCTCTTACTAAGGGATTGCCACCTAAGGTCTTTCATGAGCATACTGCTCATATGGGTGTGGTATTATTTGAGGATATTATGTTTTAGTGGGAGTTTGTATTTGTGGTGCTTTATGTTTGTTTGTATTGTCTGATCAGAATAAAGTTTTCAGTTAAGACACTCTGTTACATTATGTTTGGTTTTGACCTCACTAAGGAGGACCAGTTGAAAATAGACATGTACTGATCACATTGCATGTAATTTTCATGCTGCACATCCATGATTGATCTATGTCATTTGATTGTATTGGTATATGTGACCATTGATGGGTCGAGTCACGATAAATGTGACGAAGGCCGCTTTGATCCTATATTGATATAGTCAATGGACGAGATTGTTCGGAAATACTATTTCAGTGATAGCAATTTTTGAGCTCATAAGGTTATACACAGTTTAAGGAATCATATGGTGCCCAAGTGGGAGATTGTTGGATTTAATCTAATAAATCTATTTGTGGGCACATATGATTAATCAATGTGTATTGCTATCTTTCAGGATAACCCACTAAAGTGATCAATTAAGTTGGGTTAATTTGGTATTTAAATAAGTCATGGGGTTATATGTGCAGATACCAGGTTGTAATTGTAATTTATTGAGGGGCTAAATTACAAAAGTACAACATCTATAAATAAGGGGTTATGGTCCCTAATCTAGGGTTACTACATTCTCTAATTCTCTTCACCCCCATCTAAGAGAGAAATTCGGTTTTAGAGAAACCCTAAGGTTAGAAGATCCAAAAACCAAAAATCAAGATCAAGCAATGGATTCAGGTATAAGCTTCCGCTCTTTTAGATCCTTGTTAATCTCTTTGAATTAATCATGGCTATATGGTTTTTAGATCTCAAGTTTATGATGTAGATCTAACACATTTATCCTCCTCCATTTTCCAAATACGTAGGAAAGTGATAATGGATGGTTATTATGATAAAATTCTACAATGTAACAATGATATATGCAGTAGGATAGCTTGAGAAAAGAAAGAATGAGTTATTGAGGGGTATTTGAGAAAAGAAATTTGCCTATGACTTGCAAATGGTTCTTTAAGGGCCCTTGACTATTTTGATTTTTGGTTATTGTGTTTTTTTAGGAAAACGCATGAAATAAACTAATAACTAATTTACTAATTCTCACTAAATATTGTAGACTCTGAGTAAATATTTATTATTCAATATGAGTTATGTATATGTATAAACCGTTACTTATTTCTTTTCTGTATCAAACGTTATTCATTCAAAATTTTCTATAAGCCTTGCAGATGCTATTTGCATGCATTTACAAATATACAAAATGCATAATATATTAGCAACATTCATTTTTTTGGACTCAACTGTCAATAATTTTTCAACAATTCAAAAAGTTCTAGTTTGTTCTCATATAATTCAAGTTAAAAGTGGGTAATTTGGGGTAGAAGAACTTAGGTTTTTCTGTTGGAGTTATATAATAAGTGTAACTTAAAACTTGACATTGTAGTGGGAAAGTTTAGTCACACATAGGAAATGGAATAGGAAGGAAGGGTATTTATAAGCTTTTCCCTTCTCTTTTATGCCTAGAAGAAAATAAAGGTTGTGCTCCACACCACGGCCGGGCTCGGGGTCGGGTTGGGTGGCGTGCGCGCACACGATCTGCGGACACAAATGCAACTCCAGATTAATGGGCCCTTAATCTGCTACATTTTTATTTTTATTTTGCTAATTGGAAGAGTTTAAAACGTGATTAACATTTTATTTAAAAAAACGTTAAACAGACAGAATTAATTGGGGAGATTTATGGATTTTAAAAGTGAATAATTAAAACGGTAATATTTAGGAGAATTAAAACTGAATTAAAACGGAAGTGGAAGCGGAAGCGGAAGCAGAGAATTAAATCTGTAATTAAAAAACGTTCATACTTAACCTCTATAAAAACTCAAAGTTGCGAGAGCTAAAAGTACAGTGAAAACACAAAACCTCTTCTTCTTCTCTGCTCTGTTCTTCCTCTTAAGTTTACTGGTTGTTACATTTTGTTGGTTCCCTAAAAGTCTAGAAGTGTTCGCAAAGCCTTCTTGAAGCTCGTGCCGACGAGAAGGAGGTCGCTTGACCGAGGGTCGTTGTATCTCCAGAAACTTTTGCCGCTTAGTCCTGTACGAGAGGGGGCAATTAGATTCTTTGGACAGTGCATTGCACGCTTCGACCATCAGGCCATATTTCTAACTCTATTTTATTTTCGTTTGATTCAATTTCATTTCTGAGTTATAATAGTTATCTGTTTTTATCTAATTTCTATTAACCGTTTCAAATTAACTTTCGTGCTAATTATTGTCTAAACAGCTAATATTTCCAACATTTTCTATATGGTAGAACAATTAGTGGGATAATTTTAAAAATTATCTCAGTCCTAGCTCCACTAGAATTCTAATTGACTAACACCATAAAAAATTACTCAATTCTAGTTCTAGTTGACTAATACGGTAAAAGTTTATTTATCCCAAAAATTATACTAGTTCGAATTTTGAATTCTAATTGACAAATACCCCATAGAGAAATGGAGAGATTAGACTAAAAGTTTACATTGGATCGTTGACTTTTACGTATAATGATATATGATCGAGCCACAACTTTACTGAACGTGATGCATCTTCATATCCTCTGTCATTTTCGCTCTTTGAGTTAGAAGCATACTCATTATGCTTTTCTCAAGTGACCACCAAATTACAAGCACTATATGATTCATTCATTCTTCTACTAATGGAGGTTGCATTTGAGTGAACTTAATAATTTTTGCTATGTAAATGAGTTAATATAATAAAAAGTTAACGGTAAAGGTTTTGCTAATAGGGGGTCAGTCTTGGAGGGGTTTTATAATAATTTTCCACATTTCTATGACTAAAAGTATAGAAAATGCATATATGCTATTGGACAAAATGACCAGCTTTCTCTTAGATTAATTGTGAACTCTCAAATTACATGCTAAAGTATCAATTTACCTATTTACCATCTGATACTATGATTATGAGTCCAATATGGTCATTCTGGGAGCTCGTAGTCAAATATCTAATTCATTGATGACTAGACATTGTTTTCTTTGCATTTCTACAATAGTTTTTATCAGTCTATCTCCTTTCTTCTCCAAACCTAAAATATTCCTAACTATTTTCTCCCTAAGATTTTTACTGGCTTTTTTTTAATTCAAAATTATTTTTTGAATTGTAAAAAATACAAGAAATACAAACAAACACTGTCACATCATTGATCTGTTAAACATTTGAGTGTAGATTAAAAATGGTCACATTGAGTTCAGACACATAGTTTAAAAAGCGAAAATAAATAAATTGATATTTTAGAAGACAATTTGAAAATTCACCAATAGTTTAATAGAGATTTGATCATTTCATTCTATACTATAATTGTCGGTTCTTCTAGTGCATCGCCCACATGCTTTTCAACTAGTTGGAAAATTGATTTTCTATTATTTAATAAGAAATGGGAAAAAAAATCAGAATTCTAATCTAATTGGAAAATGAATTAGGGGCTGTTTGGTTGTTGTTGGTAAAGTTGTGTATTTATGACACAACTTGGAAAGTTGTTGTCCACCTCATCAATTTTACTTTTATATTTTTCTTTGTTTGTTTTTAATTCCATTGGAATCATAAATTGCTTGTTTGGTTTGTAAATGTAACTTTAATTGTTTGTTTGAAAAGTGTAAAAAATGGTCCCTACTCAAATGATCATATTGGTTGAAATTATTTTTTATTATTTTTTTCTGACTTCAATGTCACATTTCTCCTAAAATCATGTTTTTTTATGAAATCACTTTATAAACCACATCAGCATATGAAATCACTTTACCCTATTTTCACAACTACAAACAAACAATTGAAAGTGATGAAAGCTGACATTGGGACCCATTTTTTTACACTTTCCACCCTTTTACATGGTAAAAACATACAGCCAAACAGCCCCTTAGAGGATTCCACTAGAAACTCATTAAAAATTCACTTGAAACTCTTGTAAAAGGAAAATGATTTAAGGACCCAAAATATGGGACCAAGGGAGGGGACATGTGATGTATCTCCTCCCTATTGCATAATGAGTTGGCATGACCAACTCATTATGCAATAGGGAGGAGACACCTCACCTGTCCCCTCCCTTGATCCCATATTTTGGGTCCCGTAGCAACACACCTTGTAAAAATGGAGGAACCTACTCAATCAATACTATTAAAAAAAACATATTTAAAACTAACAAATTAATGCCCATAAGTAGTCATTTATCTCTTTATCTCTCTTATTTCCTGACAAGTGCCCATAAACACTAGGCTAAAGAACCGAATCAGTAATTTATGTAAGGAGCTAAAATGTAAAGAAAGAAAAAAAAAAAAACTAAGGAAGATAGGGCACTTCATCTCTTTTCATTTAGGTAAGGATAATAAATTGAACTTTTAACTAACACTCTTTAATTAATTAGAGTTAACGAAAAAACTTTAAACATGGAAAATTCCTACGGAATACAAAGTCACGCGTAAAATCAGGAATAAACCTGTAAAATTTGGAGTGCGCGTGTGTAGAGATGAAGTTACCAATCATCGAAAAAAGAGTTCTTTTTTAACTTTCAAAAACCTTTAAATAGAAATTTTAAACTCTCAGAACTCCAAACCTTAACCCAACGCCTAAACCCTAGTATGAACCAAAAGTAAAGAAAAAAAACCCTAAATTGACGGATTTTAGTGCGCGAAAGCCATCAATTCTGCCCTCCAATCTCGGTTCCTGCTATGAAAAACACGTGAGTTCTTGTTTTCCCCTTCTCTCTTATTCTGTTGAATCAAATCGAACTAATTCGTGTGTAAGTTCTAGAGTTCGATCAGCTTGTTAGGCGATGGATTTGGGAGTCGGCGACGAAATCGCGGGAGATTCAGTAAACAAGGAGAAGATCAAGGTGAAAACCCCGAGATCGAAGAAGCCCAAGAGGAAGAAGTACACTCCCAAGGTTATTCGGGAAGTAACATCTGTTGTGAGAGCTCCGAAGACTCCGGCGAAGTCGAAGGAGAAAACTCCGGCGAAGAGAAAGTATGTACGCAAGAAGAAGAATGTGGAGGTTAGTATTCAAGGAACTCTGGCTTCGGCCGCATTGAGTGAGCCAGATGCAAGTGTTGGAGATGTTGAAGAGACGGATCAATATGTGATTTTGACCCCTTTAAGTGAACGAGGTGGTGTTTTTGGAAGTATTGGGGAGCAAGATCGATCTGTTAAGCGGAAACTTGATTTTGATATAGAAGAAGAGAAGGCTCAAGTAAAAGAGAAAGATCAACACACGATTTTGGCCCCTTTAAGTGAACTGGATGGAATTATTGGAAGTATTGAAGAGCAAGATCAATCTGTTAAGCGGAAACTTGGTTTTGATATAGGAGAAGAGAGGGCTCAAGTAGTTGTAAATAGTGAGGAGAAAGTTTGGATAACCTATGAGCGGCGTAGGAGGAAGAAAAAAGAAGAGAAAAGTTTGATTAAGGTAGAAGAAAATATTTTGACATATGTTCGGAGGAAAAAGAAAGATCTTTGCTCGGTTATCCCTTTAATTGGATCAGAGAAGAAGGTTCATCTTGACAAGATAAATGGGAATGCGACGAATTGTAGAGGAAGAAAGAGAGGCTACAGTCTCATTGAAAACTCTACACCAGGTAGAAATTTTCCTGTGAAGAAAAGAAGTAGGAGGAACATGGTGGAGAATAGTGGATGGGGAAGTATTCAAGCCTTACAGAGGGTGAAGGAATATTGCAATTCAGGTATAAATCATTTGTTTTTTCAGGAAATTCATAAGAAAAGAAGAACAGCGAAGTTTCGTTCTGTAAAAGGGAGAAGTTTGTGTGAATGTCATAATGTGGGTACCATACCTGTAAATTGCAAGAAAGAAAGAACAGGTAAGGCGAAGAAGCATGCATCTAATTCCGGTGGTTGGCAAATTATTGAAGAGATACAAAAATCTAATGCACTATTCTTTATTCAAGAAAGGGAAACTTCTGATTGCATTCCGACATTGTGTGAAGAAAAGGAGGAAAAAGGTGTAGTGGTTCAAGCTAATATTCCTTGCACAGAGCCCTTAACTCCCATGAAGGAACCTAAATGCAGTTTCAATAAGCAAAATTGGAGTTATGGACCCCAAGCTCGCATTGAAGCTCTAATTGCCATGCAAATGAAACCAAAGACTAGAAGGTACAAGAAAAAGGAGCAAGTTATTTTTGTTAATTTCAAGCTGAGAAAACCTGTATCAAAGAAGGAAGTGAATGACATTGTTCGAAAACTAAGTCATTTGAATATAAATGGTAATGCTCAGTCAGGAATGGCTATCGTTCCTTATGCTCGTGGAGTGGGCGTGATGGTTCCCTTTGCAGGCAGAAGAAAAAAGAAGGATCAGCCTAGGGTTCATGTTGATTTAGATCCAGACTCTAATAGAGTTTGGGAACTGTGGAATATAACCGGAAGAATTGATGATGGAAGCATAGATAAGCAGAAATGGTGGGAGGAAGAAAGGAGAGTTTTCTCTGGACGAGTTTTGATGCTCATTGCTCGCATGCGTCTCATCCTCGGTACTAGTTTTACCTGTTTAATTTTTATGTTATTATTATTAATTTCTGAATATTTTGTCTCAATTTTCCTTGTGTCTTTGCTTTAAAATATGACTGTTATAATATAGCTTAATTTTTTAGCTAACATGCATGGCAAATACCATATCAAAAGTTAATATGTCTACACATCTCTCCTTATGTTCCTTTAATTATAACTGAAACAGAAATATCGAAGTATGTATTTCCTTCCATCATGGTTCCATATATTATTTTGTGTTACTTTGATTGCTAGGTTATAAGTTTAGTATTGAAATATATGGAAACTGCAGAGTTTTTAGTTTTCTAGTTGCTTTATTTGTTTCTTTGTGGATATTATCACTTTTGCTTGTTTCATCTCTTGTGTTGCTGAAATACATGTTTTCACATATATCCAAAAGTTTGTTCTATTAGAGGCATGTTTTATGTTGATGGTAAGAAATTAAGTAGCTATGATAAGTAGGAGATGCGTAAGAAAAATGAGGTGGTCTCAGATTACATTATTGGAATCTTGATTTTTTCAAAAAGAAAGATTTGATTTCTACTCAGGAACCCATCACAAAAGATTTGTTTTCTACTCAGGAACCCATCACAACGCAGCACAGAAGCCATTTCTTTCTTATTGTCAATTGGGATATAGACTTTTAGCTACATAAATCCCAAATGCACCACACTGTGCGCTTGATGAGTTGATTGTATGGATGAACAATAAGTCAAACACACAAGAAGGGCCATATCGCAGTAAATAAATTGCAATCTATGAAACACTTTATAGAGTTTA